ATTATTATTATTTATATTATTATGAATATGATTATTTTAGTACTAACTGAGGTGGGTTTACATGATATCCCCCCTAAACCCCAACCTTGGATAACATCAATCAGTCTTAGCAAGCTGTACAAAGATAACAGTAGAGTTTTAGTCCATGTGGTTAATTGTGTTGTGTGAATATAGTCAATGCTATGCAAAGACACCTATTGTGTTTATTATTTATAGCTGACTTGAGAAGCCTGTCTATTGTGGTTTAATCGTAAGTCATGGATCAATAAACCACAGTTAAACCAGGGAATAATGTGTCAAACTCACCTGGAACAGTCAACTTCCTTGTCCCAATTGGAGCAGTTCATATTTTCTTCTGTGTTGGCTTTTGAGTTGCTCTTTGTGGATTCAGTTAGGGGAGAAAAGAGATTGAATTTTGCTTTTCAAAGTTTACTCAGTACTTTAAACAATGGTCTACAATAGCTTAGATGGGGGGGTGCTTTCCATCTTATACCAAAATACATGCATGGATTGGTGAACAGGGGCCAGTGATTTTCATCTTATCCAGGTTTCCCCAACTTGGTACCTTCCAGTTAGTTGCACTTCAGTGTACACTGGCCATGCTGGGGGGAGATTATGTGATTTAAAAGCAAAAGGTCTTGAAGAATATCAGGTTGGGGAAAAGTTGTTTTAGCATTAATAGTTGAAATAATTTCCAAAGGGATAATTGTGTTTTTCTTTTGCCACAAAAATAAGTTAGAGTCTTGTTAAAACATTAACAAATGTATGCAGCCCTTGAAAGGGACTGTGGTCCAGAATCTTTTGCAATAATATATAACATTAGTTTTTCAAGCATTATAAGGCCATTACTTCCATTTCAAATGGTTGATATATTAATAGAAAGGGAAGGAATCGTGCAGAAGCTTTCAGATTTTGAGTAACAGAGCAGATATAAAGACAGCATTCATAATTTGTTACAATTGTTGCTTTGGGAAAAAGGATAACACCAGTTGTTCTATATGGCAGTGGTGTTAAATAACAACACCAGTTGTTCTATATGGCACTGGTGTTAAATAACAACACCAGTTGTTCTATATGGCACTGTAGAAATGGGAGCTTTCAAGTCTGTTTTATTTGCTGCACTACGATCAAAATGTAAATGTGAGTGACAGTTCTTATATTGAAGTGATTTGATACAGGAATTACACAAGAAGCAGTTTTGAGAAGAATTGTTGCTTTGTAAAATAAAGATGCAATTCAGTAGTACAGTAGAGTCTCATTTAACCGACCTTCGCTTATCCGACATTCTGTCTTATCCGACGCCCCTAAAAAAAACACAACACGCATAAATCGGCGACGAGAAAAGTGTGCCGCCTGTTTGCGAGCATGAGTGTACTCTTTCTTGTTCCTCCTGACGGTGCAGTGCTGCAACGCAAAAATCGATTGCAACAGGCGCGGCGGATCGTTGTTGTTGTTTTTTTTTTACCACACTCAATCGTTACTGTGTATTATCTGACATTTTCGCTTATCCGATGTTCTGCCAGCCCGTTTATGTCGGATAAGCAAGACTCTACTGTATTACTTGGTGTAGCCAAGAAACTAACTGGGTGGCTTTGGAACCATATGATACGTATTTTGCAAAATAGCTTGAGGATAAAATAGTTCTTATTTATTTCAGCAGGTTGGTGCTGAATCTGGTAAATTCCCAGCTCCAAGTTTTACTTAATTCAGCTTAATCAGATGTCTGGATATGTTATAACTGCAATTCCCTTCATTGGCTGGGTGTCCTGGGAATTGTAGTTGCAACACTTATGAAGAACTAAAGATTGTGGTAGGCTGATCTAAATCTGTTGTTTCTGGTTTTGGGGATTAAGATACCTTTGAGGGAATGACCTGCGTTGGTAACAGAAATGTGTATGAAGAATTCACAGATATAGATAAATTAGAAAGAAATTAGAAAGATTAAAGAGTTTGTGACTGCTGTAGGATGTATTTGGTAGGGACTAAAGAATTGGGTTTTAGCAGTGATAAAGTTTCTGGCATCAAGAATGTCACTAATGTTTATTGATGTCATTTTGGGGGGAATGAAGTGAAACTTGGAGAATATTTAAAGTATGTTGGGCTCCAGTTATTTATTTTTTTTGCATATCCTAGAGACTGGAGATGTCTTGTGGACAAGGTAAGGAAAAGAAGAGGTAGAAAAATGTAATTAGAAGCCTCTTTATCCAGAACTGTTTTTTTCCTCATTGCTGTTTGTGCATGGAAACTCAAAGGCTCCATTTATATGACATGTTTATCTTAGTCCTAAAAACCTAGTTTATAATGTGAACTCTGTACCTCAGTGATTTCCAAGGCAGAATCATTGCCAAGCGAACATGTAAGAACCCAAGAATAATTGTAAATTAAGTATCCTCCTCAGAGTTTTTGTGTAATTCAGACCTGGAAGGGAGGGTTAATTCGAAGATGGCCCCTACTATTGGCATATGAATGCAGAGAACAAAGAAACAAGAGCCTGGTGTGGGCCTATAAAATGGGTCTGTGCCACCTGAATGACCTCTGTAGATTTTTTTTTCTTTTCACAAATGCATCCTCCCACAGATCCATGGGGCGGTGGGAAGTAACTGGCAGAAATAGGCTGTAGGGGAACGTGGACCCCATTTCTGGTGCTCTGACCCCGTTTAGGATGATACCACAAAATTTTCGGGGACCCTGTTCAGAATGACTGGTCTGTATGTAACAGGATCGGTAGTAGTTCATTGGCTTTTGGATTACTGATAAGTTCCTGAGACAAGGTTAGGGTCAGTCTAGGACAGTGACAGTGTTTTAGCTGACCTTTTTGCTCTTTATCTCAGATAATCAAACTGTGACCTTGCTTTGTCAATTTTTGACACATTTTTCAAGCAGAGAGATTTCATAACAGTTTGTCTGGGAGACCCTTTAAGCCAAACCTGATTAACGAGATTGCATGTGTTGCCCAGTCCTTATTGCTCTTTAGCCAAGGTCTGTTGCTTATCTAGGGCTACACATGTCATCTGAACTCAGAGCAGCCACCGTTTCCAGAATCGGAAATCAGAATAAATCTTATTTTTGAACGTCATTTAGCAGACATTCAGAAATGACGGTCATTCTAAAATCAGATAGGGTGCTTAATTTGTCAGAAAACATCCTGCATGACTGCATTTGAACTCTGAAAACCCTCTCACAAACCATGCACCTATATGTTTGATCACGCTCTAATAGGAGATTGAAGGAGCTTTGTGATCTGTCTGTGCTTTTGCAATGAATATGGTCAGCTTATTTCAGTTTTTCCTTTTATTTCACTGTGTAGTGCTGTATGCAATTACTTGACTTCAAAAAAGCGAAGAGTCTGGTTGCATGTACGCCCATAGGCATTTCAGTAAGTGCAGTCTTTCAATAGTTTAATCTACTTTCCCCCTCATGAATTTGGCCAGTTTCTTGTACACATTAACTCATTTTCACTCTGTCATATTATACGCCGTAAGCAATCTTTTCTCATACCCAAAGCAGTTTACCACTGTCTGCCTCCTTTGTAAACATACCCTTCTCCTACTTTACAGTCTTATTGTGAGTTAAAGATTTTCTTTATTAGGCTGAATCTAGAGCTTTTGCTGAACCTACAGAATTAAGCTTTAGCAAATCTCCAATTTAGGCAATGTGGCAAAGCAAAAATGCATAGCAATATGTTTGAGATTCTCATGAGTCCCTGATTTTGTTCATTACAGTTTATTAAGACAGAATATGATTTGTTTGATTTTGGCTTCAAGTGTAGTGTGAAGGCCAGTCGTTGTGATTTAAAAACTATAATTTATTGCTTAGCCTATTGTGTCAACCTATCAGATTTTGATTTATTCAATATTCTTTGGTTGGTTAGGCACTACTATATCTAAAGAGCATAAAAATCTCATAGTAATACCCTCAATTTAATTTAAGAATTTGTAGCTTACATTTTATAATTTATTCAAAGAAACCCAATCTGACCAAGTTACTGTAAATTTTTTCTCTTCAAGGTACATTCCTTCCAGCTCTAATTCATCAACAATTTTTGACCAGACCAATCCATTCTCGGTCTTAAAATTAATTCATTTTCTGATATATCATTAGCTCTTCTTTCCTCTCAGCTGAAGTTGAATTTGCCAAGGTGATGATAGTGGTCACTGGGATTTCCAGTTGGATGTGTTTTCACTACCTTAAATTAAATCTGGACAAGACCCAGGCTTACTGTGTTTCATTGTGATCAGTCTTCTTCCTTTCCTCCTACAGGTAGTCCTTGCCTAATGACCACAATTGGGACTGGAATCTTGGTCATTGAGCAAAGTGGTCATTAAGTGAGATGCCTACGTGACTGTTTTGCTCAGTGACTGCAATCCCGGCACTCCAGATTGCAGTCATTGAGGTCGTTAAGTGATCTTCCGGGTTGTTAAGCGGATGGAGCTAAAGAGCTGTCTGCTGAAGGATTTCAGAGCTGAAACCCTTCAGCAGATAGCTCTTTCACTCCGTCCTCTTTCCCCTTCCCTCTCTCAGCAGTGAATGTCCCCTTTCCCCTCTTTCCTTTTTTCCCCTCTTTCCTTTCTCTGTCCTGTTTCCCCTCCCCTCTCTTAGCGGTGAACGGAGCACACCACTGAGAGAGGGGAGGGGAAAGAGGACAGAGTGAAAGAGGATAGAGCGAAAGAAGGATGTCCTCTTTCCCCTCCCCTCTCTCAGCAGTGTGCAGGAATGGAGCTGAAATCTTCAGGATTTGAGTTTGGTTCCTGCACACTGCCACATCCCCTCCACTTGCAACCTTCCCTGCCAGCTTCTAACTGGGAAGCCAGCAGAGAAGATTGCAAATGGCGATCACATCGCGGGGTGCTTGGGAACTGGTCATAAATGAAAGCTGGTTGCCAAGTGCCTGAAATGCGGCCATGTGACTGGGGGGGGGGGCAGTGTGACTTTTACGATGGCTGGAAGTACTTTATGGGCTGTGAAGCACCCTTTCTGAGGCTGTCATAACTTTGAACCATTGCTAAACAAACGGTCATTAAGTGAGGACTACCTGTATTTCTTTAACCGTCCAGGATTGTCACTTGCTAGTGTCTCTGGGATTTGGGAATCTTTTATCAATGAAATATATTCTTTACAGTCTTCTGACTTGTTACCTTCTGAATATCCAGAAATGTGGCATTTCTTACTTCTGAGATGGCTAAGGAGTTAGTTCATGCTTTAGTGATTTTCCATCTGACCTCTTGCAGTAGTTTGTTGGCAAGCTTTTTTTGCCTTTGCTCTCCATCTTCTGGTTCAAGTCCAGAAAAGTATAGTTTGTGGGGTTCTGAACTTTTCCTGATTCATTTCGTAGATTGGCTGGATCTTAGGAAGTATTACCAGTTCAAACTTTAGTGCTGACCTTCCAGGCAGTGTGTACAGGAATCCCCAGTTACTTGAATCATTTGATTACAGTTCATGCGCTTGTGCATTCACCTTAATTATATAATCAAGGTCACTTAGTCTTCCCTCATGTCAGAATGGCCTTGCCACATTTTAGAGCTTCCTCCAATCTAGCTCTGACCCTTTGGAATTAATTCCATCTTGAACTACATTTGGAAGCTGATTTCCTAAAGGTTTCAAAAGGCCCTTTGAACATTTCTTTTTTTATGGACCTTTAAGGAGCTAGAAGAACATTAGTTTTCAGTGACAGTACTTGATACTGATTAAGTTATGGTTGTGGTGAGATTAGATAATATTTTGAAGTTTATTATTATATTGTTGTACTGTCAATATTGTTTATACAGAGTTGTGGTTTCTAATAGTTTGTCCTGAGCTTCAGTATAAGCACAGACAAAATAAAAAATATTATTGCACTACTAAATGCAACTGAGCTTTTTTAAAATAACTAGGGTTGCTGCCAGCAATGATTCTGACGATAGGACTAAAACATCGCATTACTGTACCGCTTTTAGATGTTGCATAGATAAAGATAAGTTTGAAATAAGCAGTCTTTATTTGCACTGAGATTTAGCATTACATGAGATTGTACTGCATGTGACAGAGGTACAGCAGTCCCAGCTGTTGAGATTATTCTCTTCAGATAGTATAACACAGTAAGAGTATGATTTTCAAATGCAAAAAGTGGAAATAGGCAGAGGGGGATTAAACATTCTTACCATTTTTTTCCTTCCAGATGGGTTAATTTCTGATAGTCCGTTCTGTCTAAAGGGAAAATGGCATTGACACGGACTACTGTCTCAGTTCTGCAGCCATCCCAGGGTGCTCTTTTGTACTTTATGTTATGGCCCAGTCCATTCAAGACCTATTAGGGCTCTGCCAATCCTGTGTAATTTAGTTCATAGTTATAAAAGGGAACCATACAAACAAATATACTCAAAATTAAATGAACTGTTTTTTTGTGCACCTCAAATTTTGTACTCCCCGTGCTTTCCAAATTTTCTCCGGAGCTTTACAGCACAGATTTAAAGGCTATATGGGACAAGTTAGGCTGATTCCTTTGGAGTAAGTATTTTGCTTGCAGAATGGTACAGTTGGGTAAAACTCAGTTCCTTGAGGCTTACAAACTGGAAACAAACCATAAGGACGTTCCTATATTGTTGATACCATTGTTGTCCTTAAAGCATAGTTTGATGAGGCTATGTTTCTAAGGACTAAATTTAATGATAAACAGAAGAGGGAAGAAGATGAAAGTGTGTGAAATATTCAAGAAATAGTCATTGCCTTATTTTGTTAACAAAACTGTAATAACAATGACTTGGTCCATTGAACTGAATGGGAAAGTGATATGCCCATTAAGAAATTAGGTTCTTGAAAATAATTGCATAATATTGTTTAAGAAATATTGTAAGATGGCACTTTGGAATAAAATGCAAAGGCAAATATGATTTTGCTTTCAGTTTTTAATATATTTTTTATCTTTTTCAGGTAAAGTTTGGAAACACCACATTTAAGACAGATGTCTATCCCAAATCCCTCAATCCTCAGTGGAATTCAGAGTGGTTTAAATTTGAGGTAAATAGACATACACAACCCCACCACCACCAAAAAAATAAGTACAATTCATTGATAGGCTTGAAGGGAGAATTACCTTGAAGCTGGCAAACTCAATAGTAAATATATGTGTGATCAATTTCTGGATATACATCAATATCTGCAAACTATCCTAATTTTTTCAAGAGAATTATGCAAACTAGGAAAAATTACTATGGTATTTTAGGTATGCGAAATATACTCCATTTCTGGTAGTCATTTTCTGAACCAAAATATGTACATTGGGAGCAGAAGTGTTTTGGGGAACGAGGGAACATGAGAAAAAGGGAAAGACATCTGTGATAGTGGCTAAGAGGAAGTGTGGAAAGAAAGGAGCTGGGAAGATGGAGCAGGCAGGCTGGTTGGATAACTGCCAATGTCCTTGACTTCAAGAGTGCTCTGTCCCCCCCTTCCATCTCCCCAGGGCCGTCCTTTTCCATTTACTTCTTCTTAGTCTGCACTTGAAGTCAAGTGAGGATGAGCATGTGGCAGTGGCTAAGGAGAGGTAGGGAAAGGAAGGCCCTGGGAAGATTGTGGGGAAAGGTCAGTTGTAAAGCTACTGCCTCTAATGTCATTGGCTTTCAGCCTTCCCATCTACAGTTTTGCTAGGCCTTGTTTTTCTCTCTTACCCTGCCTCCCCTTAGCTGTTACCATTGTTACCCTTGGCTTCAAGGACAGCATAAAGGGAGGTAGAGAGATGGAAACATTGAAAGTTCAGTGGCCAGGTCACCACACAGGCCATATGATGGAGATGAGGAGAGAGGAGCAAGGTGGTATCACCCTTGGCCTACTCCTCTCATAAGGCTTCTCCAGATTTTGTCTCAGGCAACATCTGGAAGAACCAGATGTTTTAGTTTTACCAGATTGCAGCCTGCCTGGAACAATTCAGCAGAACCTCTGGAACCGGTGTGTTTGTTTGGGGTTTGAAACAAAACCACTTTCTGCTTTTCATGCATACCCCTAAATATTTTCTGTTTTAATTTGCCTGCCATATTTGGAAATACTGCAGAGTTTGGTAAAGAAAAACGTTTAGGAAATATATGGAAGGTTAAAGAAAAATAAATTTGTAAAAAAAAGAAAAAGGACATGGAGGAATATAGATGAAAGGAGATTTGTATCTATTTATAAGAGGTTAACTTTTTATCTTTGAAAATCCTATCCAGATGCGTTTTGTAGAAATTGTTATCTGGAGGAAAAACAGGATGGTGGATGTGCATGAAACAGAGTAGTTCACAATGATTTGGTTCAGCAGTGAGCCTGCTCATTGAGGAGGATTAGAGTTGCTGCCTGTACCTCAGAGGAGCAAAAGGTTGTGGGGAAGATTAATTTAGAGTTATGTGAAGAAGTCTCAGGGTTAATCATACCCTTCCTCTATATGTCCAGGTTTTTTGACATGGTTGTAAGAAGAGATAGAAACACCTGCTTCTGTTTTCAGCTTCTCAGTAGCTTTTAGAGCTTGGAACAACCTTCATTAAAAGCTCTTATTTTGTACTGTGCAGCATCGATTAATGTACCATCAGCAGGGATTTCAAAAGCATTCTAGTTTTATATTTCAGTTGCTTCTATATAGGGAGATCCAGTTTGAACTGAACATCAACCTGTAGTTTAGACTCTGTGCTTAGGTCAAAGCAATGTCTTCAGAAGTGCAAGAGAATAGGTTGTGAACTTATTCTAGAATAGATGCATGAACCTGGTACGTAGTATCACTCTGACATGACTGATCACAGTCTGTGATTTCATCATAATAGGGGACTGCGTTAAACTATGTATTTTATGAATAAGCCAAAATCAGAAAGCTGAGTTTGATGTTATTTGCTCAGACAAATGATAAATTGAACTCAGCGCAGTTTTTCTTAATAATGGCTCTATTTGGTAAAACGTTGAAGCTTCGTTATTGTTCTATTTTCTAGGTGGATGATGAAGATCTACAAGATGAGCCTCTACAGATAACTGTCCTTGATCATGATACTTATAGTGCTAATGATGCCATTGGAAAAGTTTACATTGATATTGACCCTCTGCTCTACAGCGAAGCAGCTACAGTTATTTCTGGCTGGTTTCCAATTTATGACACAATACATGGTGAGACTTTCAGTTGTTATAAAATATTTTTAATAGACAAAACCTGCATGAGCTTTGTTGACAGAATTGGAAATGGGGGTGGGGAGGGGAGAGAATTATTTGTATAGTTCAACTTGAGACTTTTTCTTTTAGTTCTTTTCTGCCTACTGTATGTATTGTTATTTTTAAATCTTGGTCATTTTTAAGAGATTTTATTTATAATTGCGCAGCATTTTTCTTTTATAAAGACATCAATAATAATGTTGTCAGGAAAAATCTGATCGCGTGAATGAGAATTCAGACCAAAAACTGAATTCTGTTCAACATGCTTTAAGTATTTATTCTTGGGTCCTTAAAATGATCATTCAAACTGTGTTCTTAAAAGGACATCCTTCTTTTTCCAAGGACTTGCTTTTAAAAATGTATTTATGGAAGCCTCCGGTGTCAATTTCTCCATGTAGTGTCAGATCTGAGATACGGTATGAACTCAGTTCTTTTCCAGGATTTGCAGCACAGAACACAGGGTCATTAAGGATGCTGTCCCTCAGCCAGCTTCCTGATGGACCTGTTGACTCCGTCTCATGTTTCACGAGTCTAGAGTTCAAAGGCTGGTGAAGAAGGAGGTTTTACATGACATTAGGCTTTATGTCATAGCTTGCAGTTCAGGTCACAGTTTTGGAGGGCTTGCCTGCTCTACGCCCAATTCTTCACTCACTAGTGGAGATTGCCTTATATTCCCCAGATAATTGTTTTTAGAAGCTTTAAGACACCAAATGTTCCGCTTTCTAATTTACCACAAACTATTACTCACGTCTTTCATATGCTGTTTTCTGCCACAGCAAGTCAATAATAAATAATAAATCATCATCATAAAATAAGTAAATGAATGCATAAATAATAATAGCCAGTTTGGTCTAGTGGTTGAGGCTCCAAGCTAGAAACCAGGAGACTGTGAGTTTTAGGCGCGCCTTAGGCATGAAAGCCGGCTGGGTGACTCAGCCCAACTCACCTCACAGGGTGGTTGTTGTAGGGAAAATAGGAGGAGGAAGGAGTATTAGGTATGTTCACCGCCTTGAGTTATTTATAAAAATAATAAAGGCGGGATAAAACATCTTTAAAAATGTATGTATTTATATACATGTTATATAAATACATATTTATATAACATGTATATAAATATCTTATATCCTGCCTTTCTTCCAAGTATTCCACACAGCTTATATGGGGCTCTCCCTTCATTTTATTCTCACACTAGCAACCCTGTGAGGTAGATTGGACTGAGAAAGAGGAGTTGACCCAATGAGTTACCATAGCTAAGGCTGGACTTGAGCCTAGGTCTCCCTGGTCACAATCCAACATCTTAATCCATATACTGCACTGGCTCTATTGAAAGAAAGATAGCATTGAACTTCAGATGTATCCATCCTCCTTCCTTCATGGAACAATGTTGTATTTAAAAAAGAAATTATGACCACTGATGACCAGTTTCTCCATCTCACCCCCTTCTTTCCTATCCTCTGGTGTTCTTAAAGAGGCGGAACTAGCAGTCATCACCTTCTCCACCTTGTCTGCCTTCCTTCCTATTCAGGTACAATACCTGTCCATTGTAGAAAACAAGTCAGCACAGCTCGGCAACAGCCCTACATGTCCCACTCTCAAAGGGGCCTCAGAATGAGGCATTGTGGATGAGATGGCTACAACAGCTGTTTGTGTCACAACGATGCAGGCAACCACCATTGCAGCTTCACCATACCTTGTGCCAAGGAGCCTCTGAATAAAACATTTTGGGCAGGCATGCGCCCCTTTGACTGCATCAGTTGCCACTGAAATATATACTACAGCAGTGTTTGTCAATCTTGGGAACTTAAAGATGTGTGGGCTTCAACTCCCAGAATTCTGCAGCCAGCTTTGCTGTGTGGACACAGCAAAGAAGTCCACACTTCTTAAAGCTCCCAAGCTGGCTGGGGAATTCTGGGAGTTGCTGAGGTTGAGGAACCCTGATCTAAAGGAGGGAAGAATGAGAGCTGAGAAAAGAAGTTTTCTGTTGTAGTATCTGAGTCTCTTAGGTTGTTTAATTTTTATCATTTTGTATATTTAGAGTATTTCAATATCGTTGTTCCTTAAAAGTACACAATGGTTTACACCATGATGAATACCATAACAAAGAAACATGGTCAAAGGTAAAAATAGTAAAGCCAACAATTAATTGGGCAGTTTAAAAAAATAAGATCAAGAAATCAAGAAAAGGTACAGGTAAGATTTTATTCTTTGGACAAAAGAAATCATAACAGGGACTAATTTCCAGCAGACGTTAATTCCACATCATGGGCACCACTCCAAATAAAGGATAATCTGGTTTATAATTTTGCTTTTCTTTTTGTTGATTTAGTTACTAATATATTTTCAGAAGCTATTTTCTGTTTGAAATTGTACCTGAATTGTGTCAGGGTTTAGAATATAAGGCTGTCATCAAGTAACTTGGATAGTTAGGAACTTCAGTTTCTGTGTTCTCATTGAAATGCTCACCCTGTTGCATTTTTTCTCACATCCAGGTATACGTGGAGAGATCAATGTGATGGTGAAGGTAGACCTTTTTAATGATTTAAATCGCTTTAGACAATCATCATGTGGAGTAAAATTTTTCTGCAGTAAGTCAATAAACATATTTTTTGTATATGAAAAATGAAAGAACCAGTGAACTAAAGCAGTCCATTTAAGATTAAGAACTTTTAGATTTCTGTTGGTATTCCCAACTAGATTCCACTATTATAGTATATAATGCATTCTTTGATAACCCAGATTAGTGCAAAATAGCAGCCAGAATTGACTGGTTAGTGCAGTGTTTCTCAACCTTGGCAGCTTTAAGACTGGTGGACTTCAACTCCCAGAAGTTGAAGTCCACCAGTCTTAAAATTGCCAAGATTGAGAAACACTGGGTTAGTATACTGGGTCCTCTCTCATTTGTTATAACTGCCTTTGCTGGTTGTTAGTGAGATTAATTTTGATTCAAGCTATTCTCACCCTAAGATTGTCTTCTGATACTCTACCTTGATTGCCTTCTTCCAAGCATCACGTTTGGCAGAGGTGCCCAACTTGAATCAAGCTTTACAGAGTGTTAATATGATTTTAACTAATTAAATATAAGTCATACTGTATCTTTAACAGCCACGTCTATTCCAAAGTGCTATAAAGCTGTAATTATTCATGGATTTGTAGAAGAACTTGTGGTTAATGAAGATCCAGAATATCAATGGATAGACCGAATCCGTACACCAAGAGCATCAAATGAGGCCAGGCAGCGCCTTATTTCATTAATGTCAGGTAGTTTTAATTTTAATTTTAAGAAATTGGGGTGTCACTAATAAATGCTTTGCATTATTATGTATTTTTAATGACTTGATTTGTATTATTTATTTAATACCCTGTAAACTAACTGGACAAGTTATAGCTATTGTACCCTAAAAAAATAGAGACAATATTTTGTTTGCATATACTGTAGAAGGTATAATGGATGTTGTAAAGGTAATGAAATTGCTTTTTCATTTGGAGTTAAGAATGTGCCTACAGAACAACTACCCAAACAGTAATTGGTAAGCATTTTACCTGTTAACATATAACTTAATCCAACAATAATTTACAAACAGAGATGATTATAACTTGTGATTTCTAGTCTGATCTGAAACTGTAGTTAAAGTTATAAAGTAGCCACGTAGTCTCTGGCATGTTGGAATTTCAAAGGTCACTTTGTATTGTTGAACTATGTAAATGTACTTTACAGGATGATAAATTTAGGCACTGAACGTGTGAACAACTGACCTCAGCCATTAATTTTATGGATTTTTTTTTCATACAATTGGAAGCTAATCCAGTCCTTAGTTGTAAGATAGGAATCATTGCTTTACCAGGGTCTACTAGTTTGTTTATTTTAAAACTTTCCCCCAGAATTGTAGATGGCTAAGCATGAGTTCAAACTTTAGCAAAAAGGAAAAAAAAGCTTACTTTATAAAAATTGAAAAAATGCATTTATGTGAACAAATAAAAAATATTAGAATACAGCAAAATAAATTATGATGAATTAAAGTAACGTATACAAAAACATATACATAAGGGAGGAAAGGAAAAAAATATTTCCACATGGAAAGACCTGAGTGGACATTTAGATGATGAGCAAGTGCCTAAAGAATGTAACAGTAGGTGCTTCTGAAGAGCAATAAGGAGAGCATTCCAGAAAGTAGGTTGTCTTGGAAAAGCTCCTCGTGTGGGTATTCTGGAGGTGACACTCTTCAGCCTGGTCAAGGTAAAGGGAAAAAGATTTGCCAGATCTCCCAGCCTGAAGTT